TCTGACGGATACTTGTGGTCGATGGCCTGGAGCACCCGCAGGAAGGGCTGGACGCCCAGTCTCTCCCTGCTCCCACGGCTGCTTTCCTCAGGGCGGATGGGTTCATAGATGACCTGCGTGGAACAGGAGGTCATGTTGGCCGACCTGGTCTTCTTTCAAACCACAATTTTAAGCCTTCTGTATTACAAAAACTACAGCTGGAAGGACATGGGCAGCTTCTGATTAAAAACTCAGAGTAGGGCGAATACAAGGACTTGGCAAATTACTATTATTTATTTTGATGTATGAAATCTACATACCACAAAAGATGGCAAATCTATGAAAACAAACAAACCCATACTTCCCAGAAGGGGCTTCGACCATCCTTGCCAAAGGCCCTCCAAAACACCAGCAGGCCAGGCCTTCAATTTCTCGGGAGAACGTTGTTCCAAAAGGCAGGTTGCTCTGGGCCAGTTTCTGGGTGGTCTTCAAGGGCAGCCCCAGGTACAATGAATTGCAGTAGCCAAGCCACAAGGCGACTAGTACCTGCGTGACTGACTGCAGGGCCTTCTAATCTGAGAACGCACAATTGGCACCTCAGTTGAGTTGTGCAAAAGCCTTCCTGGCCATAGCTGCTCTGTGAGCAGGAACTGTGAATCCAGGAACATCCCCAGATTGTCCACCAACTTGAATGGGGACATGTCACCCCACATTCATAGAGCATCCCCAGATCTGGGTGACCCAAACACACAGCCACTCAGTCCCGGTGGGTTTGGAGGCAGTTCCTCCCCACCCAAACCAGCACAGCCTCCAGGCAAAGGGACAGGACTTTAGCAGCCGGACTGGGGTCAAAAGATGTAACATCAGCACATTGATGATACCAAACCCCAACCCAGTAGTTTTGTGTAGATGTTGACTAGGTGGGGTGAGCAAATACAGCCCCCGAAGACTGCAAAATGGGCCTAGGAGTACTTTCTTCAACACAATCAGCATGGAGCAGCCCAGAAGAATACCGGTGTGGAAAGCCATCTGAGAGATCAAGAAGCACAGAGCTGGACACACCAACCTTTTTGAAGGGTGCCTAAAACATAAAGCCCTCCTCATTCTATCCCCTGGTTGGAAGGAACCCACAGCACAACCCCCACACCTTTGCAGAGGCAGCCTTGGGACCTGCTCCAAGGAGAAGGCCACCTTGCTGGCAGAGAAGCCCCCCATCCCCAATATTCTTCCCGCATCCTCACCGTGATGGGGAAGAGGCGTCCAGGAACCTGGATCACAGGAGCGTCGCCAAAATAGTCGGCAAAGAGCTGGATGTTGATGGTGGCAGACATGAGCACCAGCTTGAGGTCAGCCCGGGAAGACAAAAGCCGACGCAGGACGCCCAGCAGGAAGTCGCAATGCAGGTGCCGCTCGTGAACCTCATCCACGATCAGCACCCGGTAGGCGGGCAGCGTGGGCTCCCGCTGGGCCTGGCGCAGGAGCAGCCCTTCGGTCAGGAAGACGATGCGCGTGGCCGGCGAGCGGGCGCTCTCGAAGCGGATCTGGTAGCCGACCTGCGCAGGGAAAGGAGAGCGGTTGCTCCAGGCCCCCGACGGTTCCCCGCCACTCGCGCCGCCTGCCCCCCACCGCCCGCGCGCCTGTGGTCACCTGGTCCCCGAAGCGCCCCAGGCTCTCGCGGGCCACGCGCTGGGCCAGGGCCACGCAGGCCAGGCGCCGCGGCTGGGTGCAGGCCACGTGGGCGTAGCCGGCGGCCAGCAGGAACTGGGGCACCTGCGTGGACTTGCCGCAGCCCGTGTCCCCGGCCACCAGCACCACCGGGCTGCGCGCCAGGGCGGCCAGCAACGACTCCCGCGAGCGGGCGATGGGCAGAGCGGCACGCTCCCGCTGCAGCCGCGCCAGCCGAGCCAAGCTCCGCCGCTGCGCGAAGTCCAGGAAGCGGAGCAGTGCTAGGCCGAAGTGGCGCGCTAGCGCCGGAGACACGCCGGGCGGCTCTCGCCGGGGCAGCCGCAGGTTCAGGCGGCACTTGGGATCGTAGGCCGGCCGGTCCCCTGCGCCGGACCCCCGCCGCTCGCAGAAGCCCCGCAGGCGCCAGAAGAAAGCCCAGAAGTCCTCCAGCTCAGCCTGGCCTCTGTGGCCCGGCGGGAAGTAGGCGGCCTCCAGGCGGGCGCGCGTGGCGGGGCAGTCCCAGCCCTCCGCCGCCATCTTGGCCGTTCCCTCGGCTGGCCGGCGGCGCTGCGGTCGCTGGGCGGGCGAGGCTGCGGCGGAAAGCCTGGGCAGCTGCGAGGGGTGGGGAGGTGGGCGGAGAAAGGGAGATAGCCTCCCCCAAGCTTGGGCAGATGAGCAGAGAGCTCGGAGCGAGCACGTAGGTTTTGATCGTTTATGAGAAGTTTGTGCGCATGTGCACCTGAGTTGCCCTGACTCTGTGGCAATTGGTTGAATGGACAGATCTTTTTAATCAGCCACATGAGTTGGAATATTTCATTTCATTTCATTTCAATATGTGATACACATTGTCTTAACTTTTGTTTTTTGGAGTTTCTTGTATTTATACCCCTCCTTTATCATTTTTTACAAATAACTTAAGAAAGCGAACATAGCCAACACCACTTCCTATTGTCTCTATAACAACAACCCTGTGAGGTGGATTGGGCTGATTGAAAGGGACTGGCCCAAAGTCACTATACCGGAGAAGATACTGGAAAAGATCATAAAAAAACAGATCTGCCAACACCTAGAAACAAGTAAAGTAATAACTAGCAGTCAGCATGGGTTTGTTAAAAACAGATCATGCCAAACTAATCTTATTTCATTCTTCAACAGAGTGACTAAATTAGTAGACCAGTGAAATACTGTCGACATAATATACTTAGATTTCAGCAAGGCATTCGACAAAGTAGACCACAACCTACTTCTTCGAAAGATAGAAAAAAGTGGGATAGATAGCTTCACCACTTGATGGATTGGCAACCGGCTGACCAACCGTACTCAACAAGTAGTCCTTAATGGGGTCTAAGTCTACATGGAGAGAAGTAAGCAGTGGGGTGCCACAAGGTTCTGTCTTAGGCCCAGTACTCTTCAATATCTTCATAAACGACTTAGATGAGGGAATAGAAGTGGAACTCACCAAATTTGCAGATGATACTAAGCTGGTAGGAATAGCCAACACACTAGAAGATAGGCTCAAGATCCAGATGGATCTTGACAGACTTGAACACTGGGCCCTATCTAACAAAATGAAATTCAATGTAGAGAAAAGTAGAAATGTAGAGAAAAGTGATCTCACTTAGGTGAGAAATACCAAAAGCACACATATAAACCAGGTTTAATAGCAGTGACTGTGAGAGGGATCTTGGAATCTTAGTGAACAATCAGCTAAATATGAGCCAGCAGTGTGCAGTGGCAGCTAAAAAAGCCAATGCAATCCTAAATTGCATTAATGCAGGGATACAATCAAGTTCAAGTGAGGTACTAATACCACTCTATAAAGCCCTAGTAAGACTACAACTAGAGTACTACATCCAGTTTTGGTCACCCCACTATAAAAAAGATGTTGAGACTCTAGAAAAAGTGCAGAGGAGAGCAACCAGGATGATTAGGGGACTGGAGACTAAAACATATGAAGAACGGTTATAGGAACCGGACATAGCTAATCTAGTGAAGGGAAGGACCAGGGGAGACAGTGTTCCAATACTTGAGGGGCTGCCACAGAGAGGAGAAGGTCAAGCTGTTTTCCAAAGCACCTGAAGGCCAGACAAGGAATAATGGATGGAAACTGACCAAGGAGAGATTCAACCTAGAAATGAGGAACTTTCTGACAGAACAATCAACCCATGGAACAGCTTGCCTTCGGAAGTTGTTGAAACTTCATCACTGGAGACTTTCAAGAAAAGATTGGACTGCCATTTGTCAGAAATGATATAGGGTCTCCTGCTTTAATGGGGGGGGGGTGTTGGACTAGATCAGTGGTCCCCAACCCCCGGTCCGCGGACCGGTGCCGGGCCGTGGAGTACCTGGCACCGGGCCGCGCAGCGGCCGGGGGACATGAACACTGCAGCGCAAAGGCTCCTGGGCCGTGCGCAAAAGCTCCTGGGCCGTGCGCAAAGGCTCCAGGGAAGAGAGCCCCGCGCAGGTACGCACGTGTGGCCCAAAGCCCCCACCCCTGCACGCGCTCAGCGGGCCACGGTAAAATTATCAAAGGCTGATTGGTCCGCGGCGATAAAAAGGTTGGGGACCACTGGACTAGATGACCTATAAGGTCCTTTCCAGCTCTGTTAATCTGTCACCCAAACTGGCTCTCATGCCTAAGGCAGGACTTGAACTCAAAGTCTCCAGTTTTCTAGCCTAGTGCGATAACCATTAGACTAAACTGGCCCTCTATTCTGGTTTATTATAGTGTGTGTTTTCTTCCTGAAGAGTATTCTCATATACTGTAGCTTTTTTATCTAGTACACGGCTGGATTGTTGCTCTTAAAGTGCTTGATTGGTGCTGGTTGCTTTTGCAATAAAATGGATCTGTAGTTTGCTATTGCTTTCTCTGCTCATACGAATATCCAGGAAGAGGAATCTGCTGTTTTCTCTTTTCTTCTGAATTTAATTCCATGAAAGGAATCAAATTAGGGAAAAGTAGGACCCTAATGGTGATGCAGCAAATGGATTGACTTTTAGTTGGTATCAGCAGTTTAGGCTGCTCAGAAATGAAGTGCTATATAAGTTGCAATAAATGAAAGTTTAGTATATCAATAATATTTCCTAACTTTTATATTTGTACACATATACACACACATAGACAGACATACTGAAGCAATACATGAAAGTTTAGATAGATTTCTGTCCACTTATTTGCTTTTATCACTGAATAAGGGGGAAGTGGTGGTCCGGAGAGTCAGCTACAGTTACTGGATCTTAGGCAGTTGGTCCCACTGCATAGCAAAACTGGTACAGAATGGCCAGAGAGAGCTGCTGTAAATATGTTTCCAGCCAAAGGAGAGTAGAGGCACAGCAGCCTTGCTCGGGAAGTGGCCTTACAGGGTTGTGTTAGTGCTCTGATCCTCTGTGGTGGTGCAAGGGCCCTGAGCGGCCCCTCTGGCCTGGGGCGGGGTTGTTGAAGATTCCTCATTCAGGATGTTGCGCAACACAGCACTCAGTGAGCGCCAGATTTTAGCCTTGAAGTCTTGGCCTGCAATGACATAGATGATGGGGTTGATGCAGCTGTTGGTGCTGGCGAGAGCCACAGTCAGAGGGTCCAGCTGGTTCAGGGAACGGAAGAGGGGGCTCCTCTGAGTCTTACTGGCCAGAATCAGGCCAATCCCATGATAAGGAGCCCAGCAGGCAAAAAAGACCACCACGACCACCAGGACCATTTTCAGGGTCCTCTTGGAGCGTGTGAAGTGACTGCTGCGCACACGCAGAACCAGCAGCCCGTAGAAGAGGCTGAGGGCTACCGAAGGGATCAGGAAGCCAGTGAGGAAGCGCGTGACCGCCACAGAGACCTCAGCAATTTGGTGATTTACACCAAAGAGGCCATAGTCGACCACACAGATCGTCAGATGATGAAGCTCGTAGTATTGTGTTCTTCTGGTCACAAAGGAGGGCAGAGTGAGGAAAGTGGCAAAAACCCAGGCCGCACCACACAGTTTCCAGGCTAAGTGGGTCGAACGGTGATTCTGGCACCAGACGGGCTTCACCACAAGGGCACACCGATCCATGCTTATCAGGGCCAGCAGCAGAATGCTGGCAAACATGTTGAGGATGATGATAGAGGGCAAGAACTTGCAGGCAAAATCTCCCAGGACCCAACGATTCTCAGAGCCAAGGGACACAGCCAGAACAGGCAAAGACAGGCAGCAGAGAAGGTCTGCTACCGAGAGGTTAAGGAACCAGACTGAGCTTACTGTACGCCGCATCTGGAATCCCACCACCCAGATGACAGCCCCATTGCCCAGTGTGCCCACTAGAAACACCAGGGCATAGAGAACAATGGACACCAAAACAATGAGACTCAGGCTGCTCTTCTCTACGCTGAGAGGTTCCTCTGTGAAGTTTGAATAATCGTAGCCAGAAATGTTAGGAAGACCTTCCATAAAATAATCCATCTCCAAGTGGTGGGGAGTTCTGCAAAGGAACAAGAAAGAGAGGAGGTGAGTGTTGCCCCCCACAAGATGGAGACCAACTTCATCTGTTTCAGGAAAAGGCAATTGTTTTTTAAACCTAGTTTAGACGTTTCTCTATTCTGGTGAGTTCTCAGTTGTTGATAAACTATTCTAAGAAGTTTTTAAATGGTTATAAAAAGCCGGTAAATGGTAATGGGGAAGATGAGAAATAAAACTGATAGAGAAACACATACTCAAAACATGTCATGGTTGGAAAAAAAAACCCTCAAGCAGCTGAAATAAGGTACAATTAAAGTAAAATGTATGGTTTAAAAAGCATAGACTAGTTTGAGAAGAAGTCAGTGACACAGCAAGAGGCAATGTCTGCATATCTAATATTTAGAAATAGTGGCTGAATACATATATAGATATTTTAATCCCACAAACCCACAGTTCACATAACATGCTAAATCTAGATCGGCAAAGTAGAATTGCAGGGTTCCTAGAAGCCGCAGCATGCAAGCAAATACACTGAATTGTGGCTTCGTAGAACATCCTGGTCCTCAAAGACAGCTGCCCTCCTGCAAACAGCTGGACTACACACGATCCACCGCATCTTGGTCTCATCAAGTGTGCTGGCAAGTCCAACTATTTCAAAAAACTGTCACTACATGTTCCACAAACAATATTCCACTCCTTCACAAACTGCAGGTCAGAAGATCTGTATGGCAGAACAAAATCAGAACTGTACAAGAATTTCAGGCAAAATATAGCGCAGTTGCCCTCTTCCTTCCACTTTTGTTTTTAATTGCCTTTTAATTTACATCCTTTTAGGTTTTGAATGGCCACAGTGCCGCTGCCTAATTTGTATATGGTTTTCATCCAACATTTTATTTGATTTTATTCTATATATATTTATTTCAATTGTAGATTTTAGTGCATTTTATTGTAAATAGCCCAGAGAGTTTCAGCTATTGGAGAGCTTTTAAATATTAATAAATAAACAAACTTTGGCAAATTGCTCCTTCTACCATCTTTACCAAGGCCCAGTGAAATGACAGTCTTAGTTGACAGCACAGCTAACTGTGCTGTAAATCTCTTGACTATTTTCTCATTGCTTATTTTTGTTCTTATTTTCTCTGTAATTTAAAACTCAGAATCTTTCTTTTTTAGCCTTTAGTGGAATCCTAAGGAAAAGGATATCCAACTTTAAATTTAGAAGACATTTAACTGCAAATGGCTTCAGACAGCTTACTTTGGTACGTAGGATCTAGTTTCCGTCAAAAGTTCTGCAGTCATGGATGGGAGGGAACAACTAGAAAGAGTGAGCAAATCTAAAAATATTAATCTACAGATTTTTTTCCCCACAAACATTGCCCAATCTGACAGCAAATGGTAAAGCAAATGGACGCTTTTCTTCGGTGGTGTGTTGGATGTATATATTTGAAGCCCAAAAGATCCCAGACAGATGAGAGTAAGGAGTGGGTGTCTCCTAAAGATAACTCCCACCACAGTTTTAAGAGAAGATATTTGACCCAGTTTTAAAAACTAAATCTGACTCATTAAATCTTCTCGATTTCTCTGATTTATAGCCAAATTTGCCATTAGACTAGATGAGATTATTGGGGTCAGTAGGGGCAGTTGCCAGACCTGTTTTGCTCAGGATGGCCCAGGAAGAAGCTTTGCTGCCCAGGAATGGAGTGGGCACTCTATTTGGTCACCCTGCATTTAGCTCCTTCTTCTCCTTGGCTTTGGGAGGGGGGAGCTCCCTCCTGGAATTTCCCTCAAGCACTTGGAAAGAAAAATCAGTGCAGACAAACCCCACTTGGCTCTTGTTAATCATTTGTATTCAAAGGACCGGAAAGATCCCTTGCGATTCAAAAGTGCAAGCGGATTACCAAACAAAGCAAATACACATCCTTCAAAAATACAGAGTTTAACAGGAAAATTAATCCAATGTGTAAAGGCCTGAAAGAAGAGGTCCCCATCCTCCCTCACCTCTACACAGTCCCAGGTGGGAAAAAAGACAGAAACTGCACTTACGGTGGAGACGTTGCTGTGATGCGTCTGCTCAAGATGGCAATTTCGCAAGAAGAGGCTTGGACACCCAAAAAGAGGAAACTAGACTTTATAAAAAAGGCTTCCCTAACCAGAGGCACCAAATTAAGTCAAATATGAATAGGATATCCTTGTGGTATTTATTGAGTACCTTCATCTCCTAAATATTGATCCTACAGATCTCTGTTAGGTCAGAAATGCTAGTTGGCCCCTAAATAACTACACCTTCAGGGCTCTGGGAGAGCAGATGAGAGACATGCCTTCCTTGGCCCCTAATGACCCTCAGGCTTATGCGTGTGTCCTGCAGGCTGCAGAATGAAAACAGGCACCTGCCTATTGCTGAGGCTATCACCTTAAACCTAGCCTCTGGCACCAGCTACTCCAAGTCAGAGAAGGGCACTCTAGGGTCAGAGTGGGGTTTTCCCAATTATCCCAACACAAGGCATAGCGTGCACGGAAGAGCCACCTTTGGGATCAGCCCTATTGCATCTTTAGGAGCCTGGGGACTTTGGAGATTTGTAAGCAACCAGAATGGTGTGTCTACGCAACAAGTGTGGTACAGAATGATCACACCTTGCCAAAGGGTGGCCAGGAACCACGTTTCATACGGCCAGACGGAATCCTAAGAAAAGAGGATTCTCCAATAATTTGAAACACCCACCCTGGTCCCAGTGGGACATTTTCTTGTAGCTACCATCCTGCTGAGTTCTTTTTCTGCCAGCTCCTTTTCAGATGACTACAGGGTATTACAGTGGGGATGTGTTTCTTGGATAAACTATTGCCAGCCATGTTCTGGAGATGTCAGCATGCAAAATGTTGCACATGAAAGTAATCCTGTGCCTCTTAAGAATGCATAGACCAGTGATGGCTAACCTTTTTGCCATTGCGTGCCAAAAGTGGGGGGAGCGGGGGGGTTCACACGCACGTGTGCCCACATCCATAATTCTATGTGCCCCGTCCGCTCATGCTCCCCCTGCTTTTGGCATGTGACAGCACGTGGGCCCGGTAGGCCCATTTTTCGCTTTCCCCAGGCTCCAGAGCCTTTCTAGGAGCCTGGGAAGGGCAAACACAGCCTTCCCCACCCCCCACAGAGGCCCTTCAGAGGCCAGAAACAGCGTGTTTCCTGACTTCTGGTGGGCCTAGAAGGCCCAAAAATCAACTGGCTGGCACACACGTGTGCCAGAGCTGAGCTCATGTGCCCACCAATATGGCTCCATGTGCCACCTGTGGCACCACGGGCATAGACTGTCATTGGGGTAAAATGTTCACTGAGCTATTTTTCTACCAACATTGCAGGTACAAGAAGGAAGTGTGGAAGGATGTTACTCCACAAATAGCACAGAGCATTACTAGGAAAGAGACAACTCCTGCAAGGCCAGCTACCTTCCAGTACATTTGTTCACCCCTTAGGGCCACCTGAACAGAATTGCTGCACCCCTGGCTGCTGCACTAGGCAGCAGACTACCTGTGGATCCGGTATAATTAAGGGGAAAAGTCAGTATGGACTCCTGACATGAGGCCACTTACACCACTGTACGTCATCTCACCCTGTTGGAGCACATATCTGAATCGTGGCTGTACTCATTCTCTCCTGGCTCTCTGCCCAAAGCAGCCTGCAATGCCACGTGCATCAAGCCTTGGCCTTCTGCAGAGGGAGAAGAGTCTGGCCCAAACGGATCCATCTCTGCTCAGATTTGCTTCAGGTCTGTTTGCTTATTCATGCCAGAAGCATCACAATTAAGATAAGGCACAATATGCGACATAAAATTTAAAATATAAAATATAAGATTAAAGTACGTACAAGTTAAACAGATCCTGCCCAGAAACTAGCAACATTGTGTTGTCGCACTGCCATGAGGTCCTCAAGTGTGCATTGGTGAGGGCACAAAAGACAGGTACACAGTACGTATGTGTTGTTGTGTGCATGTCACTACAATCTGCAAAGGCAGAAGCCACCAAATAGCCCCCTTTGTTCAGAGTGCCTCTGGATCTTCTTGTACCCATGCACAGTTTGTTCAACAATTTTCATCTTTTCCACTTTCGGCAGACCCAGATGTCAGCTCCATCATGTGTTGGTTCTTTGTACCTTTCCATGTGTCCTCACTGCTTTTAAGTTCTTTTAAGTCTTCCATCGACCTAAGGAAGCTTTTCCTAGATTTTAGTCTCAGCTGAGCTGGTTGCAGGCCATAGAGAGGGTGTTGACTGTCTAAATATGGATGGTTCGAGCCTCTCTGTTTGCTGCTGCTTCTTTGCAAGCAGCAGGCAGCAGGCAGGGCAATGCTGGCTAAGTGGCAGATCTTATCTAGAAGGGTAGGTTTAAGGCATCTGGTAATTTTGTTAGCTTCATTCAGAACAACATCTACTTTCACAGCAGGTGTTGATTTAGATTAGACCGGGCAGGTGCATTCGCCTGCTGAGTAGCAAAGAGCCAGAGTTGTTGCCTTAAGGACCCCTGGTTTGGCAACCCAGATGGAGCTTGTTAATTTCCTGAGGCTGTTATTTCATCCACCCACCTTTCAGTGGTGAAATCAAAAAATTTTTACTACAGGTTCTGTGGGCGTGGTATGGCTTGGTGGGCATGGCAGGGGAAGGACACTGCAAAATCTCCATTCCCACCCCACTCTGGGGCCAGCCAGAGGTGGCATTTTCCGGTTCTGCAAACTACTCCAAATTTCCGCTACCGGTTCTCCAGAACCTGTCAGAACCTGCTAGATTTCACCCTTGCCACCTTGAGTTTAATGTTAGCAGTCTGCTTA